AAAAAAAAAACCAAGCAAATGAATTACATGGAAAATATTTGCTATCAAACAAAAGGTGGAAAATAGACAAAATTTTCCATTTTCTAGGGAAAAGATGCCCAATCAAACAGGGCCTTAATATATTTTTCCGACAGAAATTGTGTAGTTTTAGGTCGAAAAATTTTAATATAGTTTTAGTATATTATTTTCATATTACCAATAGAATTTTATCATTAAAATTTCTTAATTTAGTTTTTAGGATTTTGGTTTTTTTGTATATTAAAAATTAAAAATAATCTTTAATTAATAGGTAGGATTGATTGAAATTAAACGTATACTGAATTTTTATTTTTATTTTTGTTCTTTTTTTACAACAAGCAATAAATATAGCAAATCCTTGTTGCAAAACACACTTTCTCGCAACATTTAATAATTGTTGCAAAATGTTATATAGTATGAATTTTAACAATATGTACTGAGCATTGCTATAGAACAAAATTTTTACAGTTCAATAAACATTGCAAAAAAAAAAAACGAAGAATTAAAACTTTTGCAACATTCAAAGAACATTACAAAAAGCTATATATCAAGAGTTTCAAAAACGTTTATTGAACGTTGCTATAGAACTTTATTTTTACAACATGCATTAAACATTGTGAAAAATAAAACTTCTTACAACATTCAAGAAACGTTGAAAATGGTAATATTGACAACATGCAATTAAAAAAAAAATATTGCCAATGCTTAATTAAATTAATCAATGGCAACATTTTTCACTTTTTAAAATGTTGCAATAAACCCATTTAGCAACATACAATTCACGAATGTTGCCTTTCGAGTATTGCAAAAGGCTATTTTAATTGTAGTGAAAATTCTTGATATGTATATAAAAATTCATATGTCATTAAATTAATTTCGGTATATGTGATAAATGATCATGCTTAAAAAAATTATTACCTTCACTAAACTTTGAAAAATTGAACTTTCGGACTGATAACGTATTATGAAAAGAGATAGAAAGAGCAGGGAGAATAAAAGTCAATAGACTTGTATGTATTATAATAAGAACTAGAGTCATGTATTCATAAAGAAGGATTATGGATACAATGATAATAATTTCTAGATTTACAGGGGTACAATTGTCATTCACAAATAAAACTTACTATTTACAACAAAATGGTCTTTTTTTATTTTTATTTTTCTTCAATTTGCTCCTAAAAAGGTTTTTATTGATAGCAACAAGGTAAGTCGGACGTTCTCTTTTTTGAATTTTAAGAGGCGCGTAGGACATTTTGATCTTCATTTTTCGTCCCATTTATTTATGTATTTACTTATTTATATATTATTATGTGTTTGAATTTAAATTTTATTCAAAAAAAAATTTAAAAAAAATATTATGAATCATGGATGGGTTTGTGATAGCGATCATGTTTCCTAACCAAATGCCTAATAAGGATTATAGAATTCCCGACCTTCAATCCACGTGGTGCGTTTCGTCCCACATTGTCCTACCTTGAATAGTAAACGAGGTGGGATGCAGAACCTATAGTCCCTAGTTTCGAATTTTTAGTACTAGCTCTGAATCATTTTTTCATTATTATATTTTATTTTATTGTTATGTTCTTCATTTAAATCATATTTAAAAAAATTTAATTAAATAAATAAAATGATGGATGATGGTTTTTTATGTCTCAACCTACCCTACATTCTAAAAAATTGGAACGAAACAAGAAAGATATGATGGCTACTATCCATTGTCATCCTTAATTTCAAATTTTTGTTGGGTGAAGTAACTTGTGGCCAGAGGCGGTCTTGAGGGCGCGCGAGTTGAGTGACCGCACAGAGCCTCAAATTTGTAGGGGCATCAAAAAAAATTTTGTTATAATTGTATATTTATTTATAATTAAATATTTAAAATATAAAATTTTTATTATTATGCAAAAGATATTAAAATTAAGAATAATGTGACTAACTAGTTATAATTTCCTTAAATATAATATTCTTAAATAGTGTTTCTACCTTAAATAATGTGAGAGAAAAGAAAAAAGTCAAAAAGAGATTAGGCCGACTAGAGAACTGAGAGAAGAGAGAAAAATTGAGCAATTGCCTTTTCCAATTGTTTTTTAAAGAGAAGAATTAAAGAAAACAACCATCTTTTCCAATTGCCTCAAAGATAATTGAGGCAGAGAAGATAGAAACCAACCGTTTTTTTTTTTTTTTTTTTTAAAAAATTTGAGAAGAAAAAACACCGTTTTTTTTTTTTTTTTTTTGAAGAAATCATCTTTTTTTCCAATTATCTTTAATCTGGCTCCAAAAAATTCTCTCTTTTCTTTAAGCAACGACTAACGATTCATATTTTTCACTGAACTCTCACTAAAAATTTGAATTACATGATATCTTTTCTTTATTATCTTTTCATCAATCTTATTCTATGATTTCACTGATTTGAATTCTTTTTGCAAGAACTTGTTAAAATTTGAATTCGCTTTGCCTGAACGTGGGGACTGAGGATTGAGAAAGCACGACATAATTTTCCTCCGGAGAAGTCGAACACTTACAAGTGAGTTTTTGTTTCTTTATCATATTTTTCTTCAATAATTTCTTTGAATATTTAAGAAAATATAAATTCTTTTTTAATATTTTTTTTCAACGTTCTGAAGATGGATTCATCGTTTATAATTTATAATTACTAATTTAATAAGTGAAATCAATTAATTGTGAAGAGATTTACTGTTAAGTGAAATCAATTAATTGTGAAAATGGGTTCACTGATCATAATTTATAATTACTAATTTGATAAGTGAAATCTACTAATGAAATTGATTCATTGAATGTTTATTACTCTCTAACTCTCTTTTCATTAATTGGTGATACACGGGTTTTCGAAGAATCAAGATTGATTTAATTCCTGTTGCTGTTGCATCTGCTGAAAGAAAATTTTCGAAATTGAAGTTATTAAAATCTTATTTATGATCAACCATGTTACAAGAACGATTGAATGGATTAGTTTGATATCTATTGAGCAAGACTTTCTAAAAAATATAGATCACGAAAGTTTAATTAGTGAATTTGCTTTTAAAAATGCGAGAAAAATTATTTTTACATAATTTGTATCATTTCAAGCTTTACACTTGACTTGATTTATATATTTGTTTCAAGGTTTGCTTATATGGAATTGCACGAAGAGGTTAGTGGTTTGGATGGTTCTTTGTTGATGACATATGAATTTTGATGAAGTTCGAGAGATGCTTTTGAGTTTTATTTATGTTTTTCTTGTTTGTGTATGTTAAAAAACAAATATTTAAATATCATATTTTTGCAATGAAATAATAGTATTGAAATATTTTTTTTTACTATATGTTTTAATCACTTGAAGAGGGTACCATTTTAAAATTTCGCACAGGGCATCCAAAATCTTAGGGCCGGCTCTGCTTGAGGCTGGCGTTTTGTTAAAGATTTCCTCAAATAATTTAGTAGAAAATAAAAGCAATGAAAAATAAATCCACTTGAAAATAGGGTCATCTCTAAAAGATAAATGTATTATCCATTGATTCCCATTTTTCAGTTGAAACTCATCTCTGTAGCAAGGCTATGATCCAATCCAACCTTAAAATT